TCCCCGCCGACCCCGCCCTCCCCACCCCGAGGATATAGGTAGCTACTGATGTGCCTGCCTAAAAAGAAGCCCCCGTGGGGCGAAAGGGTTTTCGCCAACATTGCGTCGTCATCTTAAAGGGTAAAACCTCGCTGAGCGCCGACAGGCCCTACTAGAAGGCATCCTTGTAGGAATACTGGCTTTGTCGGAAGGAAAGCCAGCCTGAGGGATGGATGCGTCTGCGAGGCTGCTAACAATGTCCAGCGAGCAGTCCGTCATAACGATGGTAAATAGAGCGGAGGTGGAAAACTGACGGTGAAAATGGCATTGTTTGAATCAGGCGCCCAAGAGCCGGCTTTTTTTACAACTACGCGTGCGCACCAGGTGAGAGTGCCACGCCCCCCTCCTTGGTGGCTTGTAGTCTGGTCACCGTTAGTGCTGCCAGCCATGGTTTACCAGGTCAAGGGACCCGCTAGTTTTTTTGTTGTTGTTGTTTTTTTTTTTTTTTTGGGGGGGGGGGAAGGGATAGGTACAGGAATGAGCTGGGATCGCTGATAGCCCCACAGATAACAACATCTCTAGTCTTTACGAGTTCGTTATTGGATTGCATGTTCCAAAACCACGACGCTAAGGTGAGCGCCGACTCCGCGATCAAAACTGCTGGATCCTCTTGCAGAGGACACGAACTCGGTTCCCAGCACCTTCCTGGCGGTCCACAACCGTGTGAGCCCAGCTCCAGGACATCCGACTCCCTCCTCTGGCCTCCCTGGGCAACTCCATGCATGTGGTGCGCAGACATACACTCCGGCACGCACGATACTCATGAAAATCAACTTAAGAAAATATAAACTTTGAATTGCTATTCCCTCTTTGCCAACGAAGAGACCAAAATTTTAAAACGTGGAAACCGAAGCTGGGTGGCCTGAGTGTTAGCATTTAGGCATTTACACTGGCCTGCACTCGGGGACCGAGTAGGACACAGCAGTAGCCAAGATGTGACCCTGTAGCCACCCCACCAAGCCGAGTGAGCACTCGCCCTATGCACATGTGCTATATCGCCTTATAAAAGGCAGGCCCTTCTCGCCCCCTCTTCTGCTCTCCCTCAAAGGCCGCCTTTGCACCTCCCACGTGAGCTCTGCTGCATGGTATGACTTTGTGGTGCCCCTTGGCTCCAGCTCGCCTTCTGCCGCTCAACTATTACAGAGTGTAAAGGCACTGACTTCAAACCTAGCCATCTGAGTTCAATCCCGTGTCCAACACGGTGGAAGTAAAGCACTGATTCCTTCAAGTTGTCCTCTGATCTCCACCCAGGCACAGGAGCATGAGCCTCTCACTCCCACAAATGAATAAGTAAATGCAAATAACAAAATTTTATCTTTATTTTTTTTTTTTTTCGAGACAGGGTTTCTCTGTGTAGCTTTGCGCCTTTCCTGGAGCTCACTTGGTAGCCCAGGCTGGCCTCGAACTCACAGAGATCCGCCTGCCTCTGCCTCCCGAATGCTGGGATTAAAGGCATGCGCCACATCGACCGGCCTAATAACAAAATTTTAAACGGAAGCTGTTTGCTTTAAAGACTTATTTTTATTTTTTATTGTTATTTTTATTTTATTTTTTATTTATTATTTATTTTTTTATTTTTCGGTTTTTCGTGACAGGGTTTCTCTGTGTAGCTTTGCGCCTTTCCTGGAACTCACTTGGTAGCCCAGGCTGGCCTCGAACTCACAGAGATCCGCCTGCCTCTGCCTCCCGAGTGCTGGGATTAAAGGCGTGTGCCACCATTGCCTGGCTATTTATTTTTTATTTATTTTTCTTTTCCCGGACAGGGTTTCTCAGTGTAGTTTTGGTGCCTGTCCTGGATCTCGCTCTGTAGACCAGGCTGGACTCAAACTCACAGAGATCCATCTGGCTCTGCCTCCAGAGTGCTGGGATTAAAGGCATGCACCACCACCACCCGGCTTTATTTTTGTTATTTTATTTAGGTGTCTGTGTGTGCACACACATGTGCACCAGTGCAAGCCATGCACATGTCTCTACCTCCCCAGTGCTGGGATCTCAAGCCTGGGCCATTATTCCCTGATGACTTAGGTGGATGCTGGGTTAGAACTCACATTCTCATGCTTGTATGGTGCACTGGTTTGAATGGGAATGGCCCCATAGGCACCTATATTTGAATGTTGGGTTCCCGGTTAGTGGACTGTTTAGGAAGGATTAGGAGGTGTGGCCTTGGAGGAGGTGTGTCACTGGGGGTGGGCTTTGAGGCTTCTCATTTGTTCTCTGCCTCCATCTTTCAGATCAGATGGAAGCTCTCAGCCACTGCTCCAGCACCATGCCTGCCTGCCACCCTGCTTCCCATCAAGATGATCATAGACTAGCTCTCTAAAACTGTAAGCTCACCACCAATGAAGTGCTGTGTTTTATAAGTTGTCTTGGTCATGGTGTCTGTCCCCTCACAGCAATAGAATAGTAACTAAGACCCATAGCAAGCACTTTACCAACTGCTGAGTCCTGATCACTTTATTCTTTTCTTCTTCTCCTCCTCCTCCTCCTCCTCCTCTTCCTCCTCCTCCTCTTCTTCTTCTTCTTTTTTTCCATTTTTTAAGACAAGACAAGGTTTCTCTGTGTAGCTTGGAAGCCTGTCTGGAACTAGCTCTGTAGATCAGGCCAGCCTTGAACTCACAGAGATCCGCCTACCTCTGATTCCCAGGTGCTGGGATTAAAGGCATGCGCCACCACGGCCTGGCTGAGTCCTGATTACTTAATTTTGAAGAAACAGGTGCAAAAAAAATATACTCTATTCTGAGAAAAATCATAAGAGAAACATCTTGATTCCAAACTCATGATCCTCCTGACTCAGCCTCCTGAGTGCTGGATGTACAATACCACACCAGGCAATTCAAGATTATTTCTCACAGGGCAGCACATGTCTTTAATCCCAGCACTCAGGAGGCAGAAGTGGGCAGATCTCTGTAAGTTCGAGGCCAGCCTGGTCTACAGAGCGAGTTCAGGACAACCAGGACTACAGAGAGAAACCCTGCTCAGGGGGGAGGAAAAAAGTAAATCTAAATACAATAATCATTTTAGAAAACTGCTTGCTAGTCTGCTTTTTTCTATATTTGGAATATTTCATAATTAAAACCAAGTCTGCCCAAATGTAGTGGCACGTACCTGTAATTCCAGAGTCAGCAAGATTTCAAGTTCAAGGACAACCAGGGCTACATAGTGAGTTTCAGGCCAGCCTGGTATATATGGGAAGACCCTCTGTCAAAAATAAAACATGCCGGGCATGGTGACAAACTCCTTTAATCCTAACACTTGGAAGGCAGAAGCAGATGGATCTCTGTGAGTTCTAGGCCAGCCTGGTCTACATAGTAAGTTCCAGGACAGCTAAGGTTAGATAGTGAGACCCTGTATCGAAACAAAATAAACAACAACAAAACAAAAGGAAAACAAACAAAACACATATTTTTCTCTCTTTCTCTTTTTTTTTTCCCCCAGTGTTTCTCTGCGTAGCCCTGGCTGTCCTGGAATTTGCTCTGTAGCCCAGGCTGGCCTTGAGCTCCAGAGATCCACCTGCCTCTGAATCCCAAGTGCTGGGGGGCAAGGGGGGGATTAAAGGTTTGTGCAACACCACCACCTGGCACATCTCCACAGAAACCAGAGAATGGAAGTGAGTGTGCAACACCACCAGTGAGTGTGCAACACCACCAGTGAGTGTGCAACACCACCACCTGGCACATCTCCACAGAAACCAGAGAATGGAAGTGAGTGTGCAACACCACCAGTGAGTGTGCACCACCACCACCTGGCACATCTCCACAGAAACCAGAGAATGGAAGTGAGTGTTGAGCAATCCCTGGCGAGTCAAACGGATGCACTCACACAGCGAGCCGCTGCTGAGGGAGAAGAAGGGGAATAAAACTGACCATGAAGGAAGAAAACCGGATCTCAAAAATATGGCGCTAAAAATAAAATTCCCCGAGGTGAAGGAAGCCAGATGGACCGCGCTGGCCAACTCCGTCTCCACTTATGTGAAGTATCAAGACACAAACAAACCCAGACAGCCAGGAAGTCATCAATAACAACCGGGCTCTCCTGCCCAGGGCCTGGCCGGAGGGTGTGAGGCCTGTGTGAGCTGAGGAAATGGGAGAAGCCAGACCAGAGACTGAGAAGGGGTTGCCAACGAAGTGGAGAGAAAAGAAAGAGAGGGTGGTGGCGCTGTGGGAGCTGGAGGGAGACTGAATCCTAGGTGAGAACAAGATGTCAAAGAACGTGGAGGTCGGAAGTCAAGGGAGTACAGAGCAGCCCGAGGATTTAGTTACCTTGCCAGGGGCAGTTTTGGTGAGCTGGTGAAGGCTAGAGAGCTGGAAACCAATGTGAAGCAGTGTGGATAGATCCCTCCCTCACCAGCAGGAAAGGCTGGAGGCTCTCAGAGACCAAACTGCGAGCATTAGCCAATCCCAGGGCCTTTCCACACCAGAGAAAGTTTTTTTGTTTGTTTGTTTGTTTTTTAGTTTTTTGAGACAGGGTTTCTCTATGTAGCTTTGCGCCTTTCTGCTTTGGAGACCAGGCTGGCCTCAAACAGAGAAAGAATTTAGAACAAAGTACGTCGTTGGAAGTTTAGCTCAGGTTAGCGTTTACGTCACTATGGAGCTGAAGCTGGCTATAAACACCTGATGCTCTTCCCCCAGAGTCCAGTGGCCATGGCCCACAGCCCCCTCCAGGAACCCTTTCCTCCTGAGCCACACCCATCCACCTTTACTTCCCAGGGTCCAGCTCCTTCCTCTTTGCTGAGCCTATGTCCCTGGGACCCTAGTCTCTGGTCCATTGGACCGCCAATCTGTCAAGTATATAGCCAGTGAAGAAACGCCAATGAACACAAGAGAAACTGACTATGGAAAAATGCAATAACTAAGATGGAAAAGCCTAACTTAACGATACAACGAAACATTCCTGTCTTCCATTTTTTCTTCTGGAGACGAGGTCTCCCTGTGTAGCCCTCACAAGAGATCCAAATGCCTCTGCCTCCTAAATACTGGGATTAAAGGTGGATGCCACCACTCCTGGCAAGTAAGTGACTGTCTTTTTTTCTTTTTTTTTTTTAAATTTTTTCCAGACAGGGTTTCTCTGTGTAGCCTTGGCTGTCCTGAAACTCACTCTGTAGACCAGGCTGGCCTCAAACTCCCAGAGATTCCCCTGCCTCTGCCTCCCGTGTTGTCACTAAAGGCCTGCGCCACCACTGCCCTGCTAGATTTTCATTTTACGAGTGTTTTGTGTACATGGCCTGTGGAGGTCAGAAGAGGTCATCGGAGCCACCAGAACAGGAGTTAATGATGGTGGTGAGCCACCAAGTGAATGCTGGAACCAAACCCACGTCCTCTGAAATAGCAACCAGTGTCCTTCGGTCCATCAGACTCGGACTGCTAACTGCCCAGTCTGCTGACTTCAGGTGTACGGGTTTCAGTAAACTACCTATTTTCATGATATATCTGAAATGTGTATCTGCCCCATGAGCTTGTCCTAAGGGTTCCGCTGTTCGGTTTGTTTTTGTTTTTGAGGCAGGGTCTCAGTATTTGCTCTGGCTGTCCTGGAACTCACTACGTAGACCAGGCTAACCTCAAACTCAGAGATCTAGCTGCCTCTGCCTCCCGAGTGCTGGGATCAAAGGCGTGCACCACTGCCCAGGCTAGGATTACACTGTGTTTTAAAGTGTCAGCCCAGCCGGGCTGTGGTGGCGTACGCCTTTAATCCCAGCACTCTGGAGGCAGAGGCAGGTGGATCTCTGCGAGTTCAAGGCCAGCCTGGTCTACAGAGTGAGTTCCAGGAAAGGCGCAAAGCTACACAGAGAAACCCTGTCTCGAAAAACCAAAAAAATAAATAAATAAATAAAATAAAATAAATAAAGTGTCAGCCCACCGCAGGTCACCTGTGAACTGGAGCTTTGGGGCCCAAGGGAAGCGGAAAGCCATGGATGGTTCATCTCAGCATCGACACAGAGCAGATGTGGCCTGAAAAGGACACCCTCCTAATGGAGTGGTCTCCTAACATCTGTCAACACAAATGAAAGGCCTAAGGAAACCAACTGCTTTCAGCCTGAGTGCTACAGCTTTCTGGACAGAGCCTCAACTGGGCTTTGTTTTGTTTTGTTTTTTCCCATTAAGATGTTCAGTTCTAGTAGGTTTTGGAAGCAGGAAAAGTCAGAGTGAAAGAATTCAAATCAGTCTTGTTCCAGTATTTCCACACACTGTGATCTTTCTTCATCCGATGATGAATGGCGGCAATTAGTGCCTTACAAAAATGACGAATATAAACAGGATGCTTACGAGAAAAGAACAAGGTTACCAGACTGGCTCTTTATTTATTATCCATTAGGATTATTAAAGGGCTGGGAATTGAACCTGGGGCTTTGCGCATGCTAGGCCAGTGTTCTGCCACTTGGCTCTAACCCCAGCTGCTGCTGCTGCTTTTTTTTTTTTTTTTTTTTTTTTGAGGCAGGGTCTCAAACTGTCCCCAGACTTGTGACGTGGCTGATGACTGTAAACCTCTGATCCTTCGGCCTCCACCTCCTGAGTGCTAGCATTAGAGGCAAGTGCTGGGGTGGAATAGCAGAGAGATGGCTGAACTATTTTCTGGTGTATGTTCTCATCAGTGAGTGGCTGGATCAAGAAGACTTCATACCTAACCATCTGACAGAGTTTGGTGCCAGTCAGCAGTAGATCTGGGTTCAGCTCCCAGCACACATACGCACGCACGCACGCGCATTCTGATGCCTAGTGCTAAACTGTCTTACTTTTAAATTGTGCACTCTAGTGTGGCGGCACACTCCTTTAATTCCAGCATGGGGGAGGCTGAGGCAGGTGGATCTCTATGAGTTCAAGACCAGTCTTCATAGTGAGTCCCAGGCCAGCCAGGGCTACATAGTGAGACCCTGTCTCAAACAAACAAACAAATCATATGTGGGGGGGATCCTGGGATGGCTCAGCAGGTAAAGGGAATTGCCACCAAGCCTGACAACCTGAATTTAATCCTATGGACTGGCACAGTGGGAGAGGAGAAGTGACTCTCAAAGGTCGTCCTCTGGCTGGGCATGGGGCACACGCCTTTAATCCCAGCACTGGGAGGCAGAGGCAGGTGGATCTCTGTGAGTTCGAGGCCAGCCTGGTCTACAGAGTGAGTTCCAGGACTTCATCGGGACTCTCTGTCTCTCTCTCTCCAAAATAGTTGTCCACTGGCCTCTATGTACCTACCCACATATAAATAACTGTAATAAAAAGTAGCATCTTCTAATAGTCTCTGAATGTTAGCATTATGTTTTGATTAGAACTTTATTTTTTACTAGAAACGGGGTCTCACTGTGTAGACCAGTCTGGAACTCGTTCTGTAGACCAGGCTGGCCTTGAACTCAGAGATCTGCCTGACTCTGCCTCCCAAGTGATGGGATCAAAGACACTGGACACCACACCTGGCTAAAACTTTATGTGTGTGAATGTTTTGTCTGCATGTACATCTGTCTGTACACTGCCTACATGCAGCGCCTGCAGAGGGCAGAATGGGCCATCGGATCCTCTGGAGCTGGAGTTACTGTGAGCAATTGAGGTGCGGGTGCTGGGAACTGAGCTCGGGTCCTCTGAAAGAGCAGCATGCGTTCTGAACTGCTGAGCCTTCTCTCCGGCCCTTTATTTTCTGTGCTTTCTGTTGTTGTTTAAGACAGAGTCTTATTATACAGCTGACTAGCTTCAATTCAAATTCATGGCAATTCTCCTGCCACAGCTCATAGAAGGATGGGATTACAGGAATGCACCACATCCATCTTAAAGCTGTACTTCAAAGTTCGTTATTACTATACTTCGTGTAAAATGCATTTTAATGCATACTGGCACCCACCTGAAACCCCAGTGCTTGGGATGCTGAGGGAGAAGGATGGAAAGTCTGGGTGTTATGAATTATTGCAGGGGGCGGGGTGCGGGGGGTGGGGGAGTGAGGGTCTCCCACTCATGCAGGGAAACATGCTGGGCAGATAGATGCACACCATGAGCGCATGGCGGTGGCCAGTAATTCACAACCCTGACGCTGCATCCATGTGGAGAGTTTATTATAATAGAGAGATGAAGAGAAAGAGCGGAGACAGAGGGAAAGAGAGGGAAGGGGGGGAGGCAGAGAAGTAGAGGGGTGCACCTCGTGGGAGGAAAAGCAGAAGAGAGGAAGGGGAGGAGTTTTTCCCTAGAATGAGGCTTTTATGTCAGGACGCAGGGTGGCCCCAAGGGGTGGGATTTCAAGGGGCAGATCAGAATATTAACACTAGGGACCAGCCTAGGCTACACAGTGAGACCCTGTCTCAAAACAAAACCACAAACCCCCAAACAAACCACTACTTGCCATTACAGGCCCCCACACAGGACGACGGCTTCTGCAGTCTGGACTCCTGCTCCTGGAACCATGCTCCCACACTGGCCATGCAGGAAGTCAGTTTTCTATCAGAATATGCTATACAAATTGGGAGAAAACTGTAAAAACCAAACAAACTTTTAATCTCAAAATAAATCACTGTGGCTTGCTTTCTTCTTTAACATGTTGCTAGGTCTGGAACAGAAATTTCAACCCCCAAACCAAGAATCTGATTTTAAGTAAGAATTTAAAAATGTATTTATTTTGAGCCAGAGTCTCATACGTCCCCAACTGGCCTGAACTCACTTGGTAGACCAGGCTGGCCTAAAAGTCAAATCCCCCTGCCTCTGCCTCCCAAGTGCTAAGAATTCAGGACAGCCAGGGCTATGCAGAGAAACCCTGTCTCCAAAAACCAAAACCAAAACCAAACAACAAAAAAAGACAAAACTTCCACACATAACCCAAGAACACCACCTTTGTGCTTTAAGACGTGTCTTTAAATTGTACAGAAGGTTTTCTCATTTTTCTTTTTCTTTTTTTCCTCACACTGGGCTGACACCCACAGCCTCTACCCCTAAACCCTCTGTCCAGCCTCGGACAGGCTTGTACACAATCCTGTGCCGGACTCTATGGAAAGCGGTATTTAACTCGTCTGCGGCTCAGTGCACACATGCTCCAGACCCCTGAGCTCAGGAATTCAAATTACATGCTCAGTTAGGCATGGCGGCCCACGCCTTTGATCCCTGCGCCCGGGGAGGTGGGAGTAGGGGGAGGTGGATGAGCTATACAGACAGTTACTTGAGACCCAGTGTAAATAAATGATAAAAACATCTACTTATTTCAGCCAATTGAGGTGGCTCACCAGCATCCGGGCAATGGAGAGGTTGAGGCAGGATGGCCCCAAGTTCAAAACCGGCCTGGAACTCTGTCTCCAAAAAGGAAATTAGAGGGGCTGGGGAGATGGCTCTGCGGTTAAGAGCACTGGAGGCAGAGGCAGGCGGATCTCTGAGTTCGAGGCCAGGCTGGTTTAGAGTGAGCTCCAGGACAGCCAGGGCTACACAGGGAAACCCTGTCTAGAAAAACAAAACAACCAAAAGATCACTTTCCCCAGTCTCTTTTTTTCTTTTTGTCTGCCCTACCCTGCTTTGCAGAGAAACCCTGTCTCAAATAAACAAACAAATAACACTGGCTGCTCTTCTAGAGGACCTCAGCTTTAGTTCCCAACACCTACACAGTGGCTCCCAAGTGTAACTCCAGTTCCAGGGAATCTGGCGCCCTCTCCTGGTCTCTTTGGGTACTGCAAGGGTGCACAAAGCATACTGGCAAAACATCAACCAATAAATAAATCTAGCCGGGCATGGTGGTGCACACCTTTAATCCCAGCACTCAGGAGGCAGAGGCAGAGGCAGGAGGATTTCTGTGAGTTCCTAGGACAGCCTGGTCTAGAGTGAGTTCTGGGACAGTCAGGACTACAAAATGAGACCCTGTCTCAAAACAAACAAAAAAGAAAAAATGGACAGTGAACTAAACAGTTCTCTGGAGAAGATGCCCAAGTGACTACGCGCAAAGCAGCTAACCATCTCAGAGAAACACAGACCAATGCACAGCGAGATTCCACATCACAGCCACTGGGAGAGCCAAGACAAGGAGACAAGTGTTGGCGAGATGGGGGGGGGGGGGGCAGAAACCAGTGTTCACATGTCGCCGTGGGAATGTGAAACAGTGCAGCTGCTGTGGAAAAAACAGACAGGTCTTCTCCCATGTGACTTGGCGGTTCCACTCTGACGGATATAATAAGCAAGAGAAATGAAAACTTGTGGTCCGCATTAAAAATGTGCACATGAACGTTCTTGGCAACCCTGTCTAGTCAGAGCTCCAAAATAGAAACAACACAAATGTCCACTGGATGATGAATGAATAAACATAATGTGATCTGCACCAAAATGGAATATTACTCAGCCATAAAAAGGAACGAGCTGGACATGGATGCAACACCAGGGATAAATGTTGAAGATGCTGCGCTAAGTCAAAGGAGCCAGATATGACAGGATAACTTTTGTTTGATTCCCCTTACATGAGGAATGGGGGGCGGAGGCATGGATTTAGAAACATGCTAAGTGAAATAAGCCAGACTCAAAGGCTGGATTATCCACTCTAGCACTCTATTATACGAAATGTCTAGAATAAACAAATCTATGAAGACTGGGAGTAGATTAGTCTAGAAGCTAGGGGGCAGGAAGACTTTGGAGCAAAGGACTTGGAAGGTCTGCTAAAGGCACATCTTTTGGGTGTGATAAAAGGGTGTGGCATTAGATGTAGGTTATGGTTGTGAAAACTATACCTACATATTGACAACACCAAAGTGTTCATGATTTGAAAGGCTATGATGGGGCCTGGCACAGTGCAAGACACCTGCAATCCCAGGACAGAGTGTCAAGGCCATGTGGGGCACACAGTGAGTTACGGGCCAGCATGGGGCAACACAGTGAGGTTGTCTCAAAAAAGACAAACCAAGCCGGGCAGTGATGGTGCACACCTTTAATCCCAGCACTCAGGAGGCAGAGCCAGGCAGATCTCTGTGAGTTCGAGGCCAGCCTGGTCTACAGAGTGAGACCCAGGAAAGGCACAAAGCTACACAGAGAAACCCTGTCTCGGAAAACCAAAACAACAAAAAAGACAAACCAAATAATAAATACAAAACCAGAGCCACCCCACTCCCAAATGTCCACCACCCACACCCCTTCCCATAAAAGGGACTGTGTAAACTTTATCTCAAAAATGTTTTAATTCAATGGCTAAGGTATGCAGTGACATTTATTACATATTAAGTACCAGCTTGAAATTGCCAAAAATTCAGATGACCTGACACGCACCCCCAAATTCTCCATCAAGAGCTTTTCCGACAAAGACGCGCTCTCTCCTCGCCATACATAATGAACGGACACGAAGGACTGTGTCCACCTCGATGTGATGCTGCCCAGCGCTCCACTCACTGCCCAGGTCCCGAGAGACTCTTGTTCATGAACTGTCTCTTCACAAAGCAAGTCCACCACTGTCGAGGGCACAAGACAGAACAGACTCAGACTCAGGGTCAGGCTCAGGGCACAGTGCAACCTCACGGGCGGGCCAGCATTCCAGTCAATGTATGAAACACAACTGTATCTAAACGAGCTTGGCCTCTTGCATTAGACTCCAAGGTGACCACAGCAGAGCAGGTAAACGTGTTTGTTCACTTGCCCTCCAGAGGCGTGAGCCTGGCATCCATCCACAGGTAGCAAACATTTGGGGGGGGG